ATTTTAAAAAAATTAAAATATCAAATTTTCTTCCCCTCATGTATATTTTTTTTTACAGTAGTAAAAATAATAGTAACCTTTTTTTAAGGTAGTTAATATTAATTCTTCTTAACTTAAATTAATTTAAATAATATATTAATTTTTTTTAACGAAGTTCAGAATAGTTTTTTTTATAAAACATATTATATTAAGTTTATTTAAGAATTTTATAGGATTTCAAGGAAAGCAATGCTTCCTATGATTCTATGGAAGCTATACTGCTAGAAAGTGATATATATATAAATATTTTTTGAAATATGATTTAATAAAGAATGTATTAGATAACATTGTTCTCCAACTAATGTGATTTATATTTAAACAGTGACGTCAGCTGATTACCACTTTTTATCTCCCATATGGGCTCTCCATTTACTTTCCATAATTTTATACATTTTCCTATTGTTCCACATCATTTTCATTTTCTGTAATAATTGATTTTATTTTATTAATGGCAATAACTGATGCTGATATACTGGGTTGAATTTTTTTTAATGGTGGTAGACTTTGCTGGTTTTTCTCTTTGCCTTTAATAGATTCAACATTCTTTCTTTCTTTCTTTCTTTCTTTCTTTACTTTCTTTCTTTCTTTCTTTCTTTCTTTCTTTCTTTCTTTCTTTCTTTCTTTCTTTCTTGGGTATTTCTAATAAAAATATTTAATTATATTATCTTAAAATTATAATATAAATAATAAACTTTAATAAGATTAACAATATTTGTAGAGGAGCATGTTGAATAGTTTATTATTTTTTTTCTGTTTACAGGTTTGACATTCAGTCTCTACATTTTATTTTGATTTGATTTATTTAAAAAAATTTACATTTAAAATTTTAAGATTGGGATTGTTAATTATCTTACAAAATTGAAGAAAAGTAAAAATATTATTTTTTATACTGTTTCATTTCTCTTTTTTCATATCATTTATATAACATTTTTACAAACTAAAATTAGAATATATATATATATATATATATAAAGATTAACTTTAAAATAAAAGTAAAACTAAAATTAAAAACACATTTTGAATAATACACGTTAAAAAATACAATTCATTTTATTCAACAAAAATTAAAAAATATTAAATCAAATTGATGATTATATTCTTTCGAGTTACATTTAATTTATATAAAATATATTCTTTACTTATTTGTTTTGAATATATCCACTATGTTTTCAATATTTTTAAAATAAATAAAAGGTTTTATAATTTTTATCTATCTAAACTTGAGAGTTGAAGATTTTCCAGCTAATTTTGATTGTCGAGGTAAATTAAGGTTAAAATCTTTGATATGCAAATTTTTTAAATATGAATATTAAAAGGAATCTGTATGTGTCTATATCTTTTATCAATAAATGAAAAAGATCAAGATTCTCTTCAGAAAAAGGATCTTAGATACAGATACTAATATCCAGGCTTGTTAATAGATCCTTTTAAAAAGATCGAATCCCGATTACGATCTTTTGAAAAAAGAGGATCGAAATCCAGGATCGACCTTTTTTTAAAAAAAGGATTATTTAAATTTCTGATCTATGCAAAATTAACATAATATAAAAAAAAATAAAATATGGTATAAATTTATTGTAATTGGATAATATAATATAAGTATAACATAGAATATATGTATTTATTATTAAATTAGCCATCAATAATAATTTTTTATCTAAATTATCATCATTTAAACAACCACGTTTTTCATTAAGTACATGTTTAGCTTTACTAAACAAGCGCTCCACAGGAGCCCTGATGGTAAAGGGGTGTTATATAAATGTTTTTTTTAATTAACATAATTATTAAAAATATTCACTGAATCATTAGAATAAAAAAAATTATTAATGGAAAGAGAATTTTGTGACGAGTTTTTCCCAAAAAAGGTATTGATCCAAGCATTCTTTGAAGGATCTGCATATGGTCGACCCTGTATATTTTCTAAATGGGCAATTAACCTTTTTTTAGCAACAAATTTTGTGGCAGATTAATAAAAGGACAATTGAGCTTAAATTTTGGGTGAATTATTGATGCCAATATATTACTGTCGTCATATAGTGAAGGAAATCTCTAATTTTTATTATTTGCATATTGTTATGATCTTCAAATTTAATAAAAATTGTATTTTTTTAATTACTTCTAAATGCCTCTTTAGGTTTGAACTGCTAATCTTTGAAGAAGATATTTTATTTGCATAAAGAGCAATTTGCATAGATCATTGTATGGTTACTTCCATCCGTTTCACATAAAGTAAAATACTTACGTAAATTATGAAATGGTCAAAGATTTTCATTCTCATTTATATCTGCTGTCACATCAATAGAAGTAGATGTATCATCTCCTAAATCTATAATGGAGGACATTATTAAAACCTAGAATTTATATTATAATATAATTAATAAATAAATATAACTTATTCTTATAAAAAATTTGGGTAATTGTTGAAATATAAAATCTGGTGGAATGGTGGTTGATAAAATATGATGTAGATAGATATTTTTAATAATATTTTAAATTTAATTTTTAAAATTTTTATTTTATTTATTGCTTTATAAGTAAAAAAATAATTTTTAAAAGGATTGGGATCGAATATTTAAAAAAAGTGATCTCGATCGCGATCCACAATTTAAGGTCAGGATCTTAAATCCTAGAAAATTGACAAATTTAGGATGGAATCCAGGATCGGCGATCTTTTGATTCGATCCTTTAACAACTCTGCTAATATCTTATTAAAAATGTCAAAAAAATATAAAGTACAAGATACAGGATCGTATCTTATATATACACGGTACTGTCCAACACTGTCTATGCATATTATATAAATATTTTCGACAAAATCAAATGTTCACTATAAATAATAATGCTAAAGATTTTAGTTATACCTGAAATTTAGATATTGTAATTCTACGATTAATATACCTACTAAAAATATACAGGATGAGTTATTATAATAAAAACAGAAAGTTAAAAGAATGAAACAATATGTGTCTTTATTTTTATATAATACTTAAAAAATAAATGACGATTCATTAATATATAACAAAACAGACAAACACTACAAAAATACATATGGTAAAATTTTAATGTAAATTTTTGCATATACAATTTTTATATACATTAATTTATTTTTAAAATACAGTTTAATATTTTTTCAAATGTTTAATATACGACAAATTTTATATAGTAACACAAATAATACAAATTCATTTACATCAAATCCTGATCCTGTTTATTCTAATTCAATACCTAATATATCTAAATAATTTCCATATTATCAATTCTCCCTCTTTAAGTGGTGATTCTATTATTAATCCAGCAAATTTCTTTCTTTCTTTCTTTCAATTTCTTTGGCTTTCTTTCTTTCTTTCTTTCTTTCTTTCTTTCTTTCTTTCTTTCTTTCTTTCTTTCTTTCTTTCTTTCTTTCTTTCTTTCTTTCTTTCTTTCTTTCTTTCTTTCTTTCTTTCTTTCTTTCTTTCTTTCTTTCTTTCTTTCTTTCTTTCTTTCTTTCTTTCTTTCTTTCTTTCTTTCTTTCTTTCTTTCTTTCTTTCTTTCTTTCTTTCTTTCAAGAAGGAAATATAAAAACTGGAATAATGAAAAAATACTTATAGCAAAATATTATTATCTGTACCTGAGAAGTAGGAAATGAAAATGAAAGATATCCCTAAGTATTTAGATATGTCTTTATCGTCTATTAATAAATTATAACGCGAAACATTTCACGAAATCATCGGAGACCCTTTAAAAGATTATGTGATTGGAAAGCGAGGCAGGGAGAAAAAAGACACATTCAATATAGAAGGAAAAATTATGGAACTTTTAATGGCGAACAATACATTAACTATTAAAGGTATTATAGAAAATTTTCCTCCAGGATTTCCTAGAAATGAAGGAACTATAAGGAAATATATTTAAAAAATAGGATTGTCCAAAAAACGTAAAGGAAAGGAACCTGATAGGAGGAAAACACCGGACACAGTTTATATACGACAAATTTATTGTATAAAAATATTGAATATTGCCAGACAAAAAATATTTTTCTTAGACGAGAAGGCATAAATTTACACGTTGTACCTGTTTACGCCTGGGCACCATACAATGTTACGCCAACTGTTAAAGTCCCACCATCTAAGGGTAAAAATTTAAGTATATTATGTACTATGGGATGGGAATCGAAGGTGCGATACTTTATTGCATCATCGAGGGAGCTTACAATAGCCTACTATTTCGAGAATATATGATAGAACTAATTTATATCATACCAAGTGATGCAGTTATTGTTATGGACAATGTATCTATCCACAAAAGCCATCTCATTGATAGTTTTAAAGTGTGAATAGAATATTTGCCACCCTATTCGCCGCAACTAAATCCATTAGAAAATTTCTTTGGGGTATTAAAAAACAAATATAGGCCAATCAATCCCCGACCAAATACATGAAACGAAATCGTTCATAATGTAACATAAATTCTTAATGAATTTACTATTCCTTATGACTTTTCAAGTTATTATAATAAGATGCATCAATATTTGGAAATTGGTTATCAAGGACAACCATTGGATTAAGGTAAATTTATAAAAATATAATTTATATTTAAATATATTTAGGAATATAGAAAATCGGAATACCTAAAGAAAAAGCGAAAATCAATTGATCCAGTTTTTTATATTTTAATGCATTTTTTAAATCTGTTTTGTCATATATTATATATTTGATCGTCATTTATTTTTTGAGTATTATGTAAAAATAAAAAAACATATGGTCAAATCTTTTTAATTTTTTGTTTTTATTATATTAATTTACCCTGTTTAACAAAATAAATTACATAAAATTTCTAATCGGTAGTTGTTTACCAATAATTTAGTTATTTTAGTTTTTGTCACATAGCTTATAAAAAAAATTTTCAAATTGTTGCCATTGGCTAATATTTTGCCAATTTTAATAAATGTGTAAATAATATAACAAATTTTGCATTCATTTATGTCTTCAACCAATGCTGCTATTTTAAAAAACTTTAAAAATGCACAAATACCTTCATGGAAAAAGGCTTTAATCGTTGGTTCAGAATGGTCTAATAAGGTTTGGTTATAAAAAATATTTTACAATATTTAATTAATTATATAAACAGCCTTCGTTTTGACTACATAGCCTTCGTTTTGACTAATTTTTTATAATTAACTTGAAAAATTATGTTGAGATATTTATTTAAACTTTTTATGCTAAAGTTAATCATTAAATATATTTTAGGATGAATTTCTTGATATTATATATTGGGGAAGACAAATTATCAGTGTTATATCTGGAATCATATGTGGCCTTATCCCTATAACAGGGTTTATTGGATTATTGATGTAAATTTACTAATTAATACTATTTATTTATTATGTAAATAACTTAATAATTTTAAGTTATAAATTGCTATTATAATAATTTATTAAAAATGGTAGATAAATGTAAAAAAAATTTACATGGTAATCATGAAAATATTATAGCTGATCATAATAATATCAAAAATATGCTACCATAGAAAGCAGGTCCCTAAATTATAAAGAATTTTGCTTTGATATAAGACAAATATCACCACCTGTATTGCCTTATCATGCTATATCGTTTTTGGCTTAAGATGAAAATAAATTTGGTGGCCCTATTAAAAAAAACCCCAAATTTTTATAAGCATTTAAAAATAATCATAATATAACAAACTTAGTTTCATATATTAATTAAGCAGTTTAGAATATAAATTAGCTCACATTAATGTAAGTTATTATTTATAGTAAATGACTTATTAAGGCAATATTAATAAAAATTAAAAATCACTTTTAAATGCAAAAATATTTTTTTGATAGCCCCTAAGATAATATAATTTGGGTTAGACCATGTCTGCTCTATCCAGTCCAATTCGCACTGGCTTTTTATAGGTCTGTTGGCATTAAAACAATTTCAACATCGTGAAGATGGGTAAAAATATTTTTAGAACAATGGGGGGGGGGGCAGATGAATGAAATTTTTTCTGTCAAAGTGAGTAGAACATGCTTTATTTTTTTAAAATTTTAGTTTACAAATATGAATAGTAAATTTGATTTGCTTAAACTTATCAAATATGAATGATGCAATATTCAATTTGTTTTTGAATATTATATATTTTATTAAAAAGTTAAAAATAAGTTTTTAAAAGGATTGAAGGTCTTAAAAGAAAATCTTCTATCTGCACAATTTGCCAAAATATGGATCGAGGATCATTGATCCTTTGATATCAATCCTTTAACAACTCTTCTAAATAACTTATTAAATTTTTTATTTTTAATTATTATTAAAAAGTTAGACCCTATATTATGAGAAATGACCAAGCAAAAAAATTGTTAATATTTTTGTAACATGAAATCTTTAAAATTGATAATAAAATAATAATTTGTTTTTTTTACAGTTTCCTCATCCTAAATTCAGGTGGTGTTTACCTGTTTTCCTGTCACTTCCACAAAGTAGATGATCAAGAATATGGTGGTGTCGGTGAAATTATTAAGGAAGGAATGATGACATCTTTTGCTACCTTTTTAGTATGTCATTTTTTAAAAAAATATATAAATAAACCTGTGTGCTGATGAAACTATTGGCATTGGCAGCCAGTAGGCGTTTTTAAAAAGAGGTGACTCGCAGCCCTCCACTTTTTAGCCGGCCGTCAACATTGGCAGCCTAAATCTATGCACTTAGATAAAAAAATTTTATTTCGGCTCGGGCTTTTCAGGTCAAAAATATTCAGGCTGTGCTGAACCTGGGAAGTAAGGCCCGATGCAAATCACTAATGAAGGTGCCAGTCATTTTAATAACGTTGTTATTTAAAAAATTTTCAGTATAGGCCTAGTGGGTTTATGATGTATGCTTGGAAGCGGAAGATCCCAGGTTCAATCCTGGTAAGGAACGTAAAAATTTCAAGTTTTTCTTTGATGAGTGATGTGTAAGGACATATGCTAGGATGAATTTATGAGCTGCCACCCTATTCACACAGGCTTGGACAGCCTGGTGCTAGGATACTTGTCTAATAAACAAAAATGAAAAATGGCCAGCTGACCTTGTGGGCCATTAAAGGATGATAGATGGAATCGACAAGAATACTCCGGTGGGATATCTGTCTATAGAATGGTGGGATATCTGTCGATATTGATTAATTTTGATATTTTTTAAGTAGTAAAAAAGTTATAAAGGTTCTTTGAAGCTTGGGGTCACATAGACCCTTCCTGTTCATCCATGCAACTTTTTTTCATCTGTTTTGGCATTTGATATATTAAAAAATAAATACTTTTTTAAAATATATTTATCATTTTTATTAATTAAAAGTTATATTATATTAATATTTGAACCTTAGATACACATTTCTACATGATCAATTTTATGTATATATATTTTTTTTATATCACATTGCGACATATTTTAAATATGACTTCCTTGACAAAAGCTGTCATATAATGAATGAAAATTACATTAAGTTATTTAAAATAACAGTTAAAATCATTAACTTATAGTTTTATTTTATCTTCTCTTCTCTTCTCTTCTCTTCTCTTCTCTTCTCTTCTCTTCTCTTCTCTTCTCTTCTCTTCTCTTCTCTTCTCTTCTCTTCTCTTCTCTTCTCTTCTCTTCTCTTCTCTTCTCTTCTCTTCTCTTCTCTTCTCTTCTCTTCTCTTCTCTTCTCTTCTCTTCTCTTCTCTTCTCTTCTCTTCTCTTCTCTTCTCTTCTCTTCTCTTCTCTTCTCTTCTCTTCTCTTCTCTTCTCTTCTCTTTCTTTCTTTCTTCTCTTCTCTTTCTTTCTTTCTTATATTCTTTCTTTCTTTAGTATAAATAATATTATGTAAGCATCGAGATTTGGCAAATAGATGTCTAAGCAATTCAGCCAGCTATGAGCAAGATTTCTAGGCTTACATCATGTTATTTTGGTTATAATCTTAATCGGCACATTTTCTGCAATCGACCCGAATTGGACTTTTTCAACACTAGTTAAGATGCTTTAAAACTTATTCAAAACAGTGTTAATTATATATTTATCTCAGATATGCTCTTTCGAGTATAATTAATATATTATGCCATCTGATTTGTGATATTTAATTTTAATGTTTTTTTCTAGATTGAGTGTCATTATTGATATTATCATCATTGGGAACCCCACAACCTGAAAAAAGGATATCAGTGCTATAAAAATTTATCGTATATCCAAATGCTAAATGTATTATATTTAGGTATTTTTTTTAAAAACATACAGTGATTTTGACCAATCATTAGAATGAGAAGGTATAAAATACCAAAATTATTTTTAGGAAATTTATGCTCAAGTGTGATTTTCATTAAATGGCGGCGTAATCGGCAGCGCACAGGTCTCTATATAAAGGTCTATAAAATCTTTATAATTTTGTTAAATTATGATGAGTAAATATCTAAAAAACTAATAAGTAATGGTGGGGAAATATAAATATAAAACTAAAGTACAGATAAAAAATTTTTAATACATTTTTAAAGGTTACTTGGATACTCCTGTACACTTCCTTATACAAAGTTTCTCACCTATAAGCTCTGGCAACTTGGATTGCAATATCACAAAACTTCCACAACCCTATATAATGATTTGATTCAAATTCACAAACAAGACATTCATTTTTTTTTAAAAATAAACTTATGTTCCAAGGAGAAATCAAAAATAATATTACATTATAAAATATAAGCTGTGATTATACAAATAATATTTTTTTTTAAGTACATTATTATAGCTCAAATTTTTATTCAATTGAAAATGCAATAAAGAAAAAAAATTATACAATAAAACATAATTACGAAAAAATATTGAGTTCATTATAAATAATGATTTAAGGGAACGCCTATTTTTTTTGTCTTCATCATTATTCATGAGGACCTGCCGGCCGTCCAGCCCGGATTTTTTTTAAAAAATAAACGCGGGTAAGACCTATTTAAAAAAAAATGATTCAGGTTAATTGCAATAAGATTTAATTTTTAATAAAATTCTATAAATTAAAAAATTTTTTTTTTTTAACAAGAAACATGTTGCGACTATTTTGTATCGTGTTTTGGTAGAATAATATTTTATTATTTTTTTAACAATTTAAAATAAAGATTATTAAATATTTTATTTATTTGTAGGAAACTAGGCATCATACATTTTCTTATTTTGAGTATAAAAACTCCTTGTTTTTCCTAGTGTTGTTAAACGGCTCGATTTGAGCCCATCTTTTAAAAATGGCTAACTCGATACTTTAGCCAGCCTCGAGATTTCGTTTATCAGATGTTCAAACCTTTGTGCCACCTATGAGCAAAAAATCTTAAGGCTCGCGTAATATTTTTCTGGATAAAATATCGAATTTAGCCGTTTTTAACAATACTAAATTCTATCCCATCAGCTATTAACTATAATAGAGCATTAATGATACTTGTAGTAGTGATATTCAGTTTTGTATAATTCAAAAATTATTAAAAAAATCAATGTTGTCAACGTAACAAGAATCACTGAAAGTTTTTAACAATACTAATTCATCCCATCAGCTGTTAACTATAATAGAGCATTAATGATACTTGTAGTAGTGATATTCAGTTTTGTATAATTCAATAATTATTTTAAAAAATCAATGTAGTCAACGTAACAAGAATCACTAAAAAACTAAGTGCAACCCAAACCGTTTTTTTTTAACAACTGAGAAAATAAATTTATTCTTAATAACTTAATTTGCATCAAACTCTTATTAAATACCTTTATGCATGGTTTCCAATATTTTCTATAAAATAACGATACCTCTTAATGGAATGTCCAGTTTGCCTTAGAATTGCAAATAATCACTGGAGCAAATAAATATTTTAGCCATCGTTTTAGCAACATACGTTTCCCCCTAGTTTAGGACAATACCTTATTACATATATGTATTCCATAAATTTGATTGCGTGCACTCCTGGAAATGGCATAAATGGTGGTAATGGTCATCGAGATATAGGTATCAATTTTGTCAGAGGTAGATAATGACCCATAGCATCAATGGGTATGGGAATTCCTGATCACAAATTTCCCACCCACTTTATCCAGAGTTCCAAGAGGTGCTTGCTCGCAATAATTTTTGCAAATCTGTCCAATATCTTGTCTGCTATCTAACGCTCCTTTCTCTACACTCACTCTGTTTTTTCTATTCCCAATAATACCCTTAAAAATCAATTGTCTAAACGTATTAGAAGGGGGGTATAGTAATCTTTGACAAAAGTGATGCTAACATAATATTAGACGATGAACCAATTCTTCCTTCAAACATTTTGTCAAAATCTACAAGGATCATTCGTAAAATCAACCGAGGTTATATGAATGCAGATCTTCGCAACTTGACATAATACCGTAGCTCCTAATAATGAATTAACTTACAATGCTATGGGGAATAAATGACCTAATGGGAGTTTTTCGTTTCATATCTTGCCAAGTTATATCACAGTTTTTGAAGCTAAACAGGCCATCGAGTCTGTACGAAAACATTCATCTGGCAGTCTTGATGGTATTATAGCCATTTTCCTTCGTAATAGTATTAATCATAAATCACATATTAGCAATGTATTTTAAGTTGTATCACAAAATTTTTAAATCTGCTACTAAAAGGTCCAACCACTAAACCCATCATTCCTTTGATCTTTGAGACTCGGTTAATTCCTCTAAATAAAAAAAGATTGTGGGATTCAACCCACATTGATATTGGATAAATATTTCACAGTATTATATCCTAAATCAGCAAATCACCATCCCTTTATAATCAAAAATGGAGTATGGCATCAAAGGAGAAGCAGAAGCTGCAGCACATTCCGCTCGAATGTCGTTAGCTAATGCAGAAATTTCATTTAAAATCGATCTCGAATAATGCCTTTAACTCTATTTAAAAGAAATCATTTTATTCCCATATTCTGCACTAACTATCCAGAGTATACCGATTTCATTTTGCATAGCTACCTCGAACCCAATTATTTAAAATTTCTATGACAAAATTATTCATTCTTGCGAAGGTGATTGGGTCCACCATTATTTAATAAATTCTATCAATGTTTTTAACTCCTTATTAAATACCCGGTATTTAGACCTTGCCATCATAGCTGGTGACATCTCTTTAATAAACAACATTTCAGACATTATTAATAATCTCATGTTCATTTTAGGTTTATCCCTTAACTTGGTAAAGTCTGAATTCCCTCTTACCAATTCCACTATCCCAATCCTCCCATTCAAATAGACTTCAATCGAGGAACCTCATTGGTTCTCCATTTGGAAATTTAGACACAACTTATTCTAATCTAGAAATACAACCAACTTTAAGGTCTGTAGCCAGGAATTTCCAGCTGGGGGACCAATTGTTTACTTAGGGGGTCTATATATTTTTTGAAATAAAACAAATAGGCACTTATAAATTTTAACATTATTTTGTTTTCCATAAGCCATTAATACTAAATTTTGTTTATGTAGATCTTTCATCGATTCTCTAGTGTTGGATAGAACTCTCTTTAGTTGAGAGAATGAGGCCTAAATTCGATGACAGAGGATTATGGCGGCTGAGTAGCATATGTACAGTTTTTTTAAATGCCAGGTGATTTTATACATATTTACGATATTTTCAAAATTATGTTTCATTAACTTCTGCAGCTAATAATCCTTTAGATATCTTCATTTCATGATGTAAAGTTTACATTTTTAAGTTCTCTAATGATAATGGGGTCATTTTATCTGAAATCAGGGTCAAATGGGGACAATGTATTATAATATGATAGAGGATTAAAATCATCTTGTGTAAATATATTCTAAAAAAACGATTTATAAAATAATCATTTAATAATTCTTCGTCATTTTCACAATAAATTACAATTTGATATCGACTAAAAGATCCTAAAGAATTGTAGGGATTTTACGTGCCATTGATGATTTTTGAGGGATGAAATTTAATTTTGATATAAGCTTCTCAGCCTTAATTCTTATCAAATCAAAAAAATTATCACTTCGTTTATTTTTTAATATATTAATTGTGGAATCAATACAATTTTTAGCATCCACTATATTACTATCTACTGTCTGCAGATACTTATTTAGGTGGATCTATTATTATTAATTCTTCATAAAATAAAATGACCAATACTCTTTCAGGCCATCGATCTTTGGAAGCTATCTTTAGTTGATCCTCTTTTAACGTCATTTAAGAGTAATTTACTCTTGGGTGGTAACACCGTTGCATTTCTTAATCGAGAAGTCAACTTGTATAACATTCACTTCTCTTAAAAACTTAATTCGGAAACGGTTATGAATTTCCTGAAGCCATCACTTCAAGTAACCTCGATTTGCCATTTACAAACGACGAGCTACATATGTCATTAACCGAGACTTAATTGCGATATGGTTGTATCATACTCATATTCACTTTGTCAGATTCCTGTTGACTCAAATGTTCGCCATTCCCTGCATTTCTAGGACATACAAAATGTAATAACACTATTGTTGCCCTGAAATCTGCCGGAATTACTTCAACCCTTGAGATGCCAGAACTTAGCAACACAGATGGTGAACGTCCTGATGGTTTTCCCAGAATCCATGGAAAAGTGAGTGGTAAGTTCTTTTTCAACATGTAAAAAATCATTTGATTTTTTTATATAAACTTTACAATTCGGCAAAAACATTGAAACATCAACATTTAAAATTAATATGAGTCGAATTTTGTACTTCTGATGTGAATGTTAGCTCTAATAAACGCTCTAAGGCTATCTTGCCATTCATTGATTGCACGTTTATTAATTCCCTTATCAAAACGATTCCATTTCTCCACAAGTCGCTCTCTAAGATGGTCAACATCACATATGCGAGTTTGACTAACACGTTTAAAAGATGCAGCATATCTTGTAGTCAACCGGATCGAGATCAGACTTAGTAAATAGGTTGCAAAGAATGGGTGAAATAAAGTCAGTTTCTCTTGAAACCAAATACACAATTTTTCTGGTTCAGTAAGCAGTAGTACTGTCCTGCGGGAATATGAAAAATTTACTGCCCGACAATTTTTTTTAATAGCAGACATGAAGTGCTCACCAAATAAAACATCACGAAATTATGCACCATTATTGTTAACTATTGGATCGATAAAGATGAGCTCTGCAGCCAAGTCTTGATATCCAGAATGAAACCAGCACTGATTTAGATAAATTTGAACGAGTACGAAGCAATCGACTGGCTATAACACCTGTTTTTTTTCATTAATAACGTAAGTGCACCCTATCATTTTTCAGATTCCGATGGTTTTCATCCATGAAATATATGAAATGTACTATGAGAGCATTTTCGTAGAAGTTTTGGTAAGTCAGAGGGGCTATCTTATTCGCATCGGTTAGGTCCTTGGTATGTTTCTTTTTTAAATATTTCAGCTGCAGTTCTTTGTAGATAATCCGGCACACTAAAGGTTGTGAAATACCAGTTTCTCGGGATACTTGATGAATATTTTTCTATGGTTACAAGATCGATCTTTTTGGCTCAACTGCCCTAACGTTTTTCTGCTTATCCGTTAGCATCAATTTGCAATCAATCAATTCAAGGCTGCTATAGACCAGTTTCTGTTAGGAAATTCCTTCAAAAACTCATTTTGGCTCCGTAATTTTTTTTTTGTTTTTAAATGTTAACAAAATTCAATCAAGTTATTTTTTTTCAAAAAAAATATCGTCTGCTTTAAAAATAAGAATTTTTACATAGTGGAAATTTCGAATTTTGTTTGTCCGACTTTGAATTTGCATAATGGTGCGAACGAATTGAGCGTTTCCGCTGCGTTTGCAAGCACCAATGATGCCTCTCAAAATGGCCTCATGCAAATAGGTAAAATTACCGTTTGGGCGTTAGCAATTATTAAAATAAAAACGTAAACAGGTTTGATTTTTCGATACTTTTTTATTCTTTGTTTTGTGATATTATTATATAAAAAAAAATGTAATATA